TCATCAATATAACGCCACCAAATTATTGGTTTAAATTTGTAATTATTAATGAAAGTTGATTCAAAATTTTCCATAAATAAATTACTGAAAAATGGAGATAGTAAATTTTGTTGTTAAAAATTGCCATTGTTGAAAGTAAGTTGACTTTACACATATTGTTAAAAGTTCAATAATGGTGTTAATGCTTAGTTGTGTGCGTTCTTTAAGATTGGTGTCATTTTGTAATTTTTGTTTGATGATATTTAAAGTTTTATCAACAGGAACGTTAGTGAATAGATTAACAACATCAAAACTTACCAGAATATGGTTTGGATTTATGTCTATGTCTGATAATTTTTGTAAAAAATGTTCAGAATTTTTAATATAGGAAGTTGTGTTATTTATTAGGGGATTTAAAATGTTTAAAAGATATTTGGCTAAGGGATGTGTGGGTGAATTTATACTACTAACTATTGATCGTAAAGGAATATTAACTTTTTGAATTGTGAATTCATGTTTAAATTTTTTTAAAGTGTTACAAATTTGTCTTTCAAAACGTTCTGTTGGATTTTTGTTTAATTTTGAATAACTTTTGTCATTTAAAAGTTCATTAATTTTTTGATCGTAGAATCCATGATGACGGTCGCACTACCTTTATCAGCAGGCAAAATTTTGATTGCTTTATCTTTTTTTAAGGACATTAATGCTTTTTGCTCTATTGAGCTTATGTTTTGTTTAATTTTGAAAGATTTTCCTAGAATTATTTTTGATCTTATTCGAAATTCTTCCTGTTGTTCGTCAGGTAAATTTCGAGTTGTTTTGTTTGTTTTGAAAAAAATTTTAAGATTTTTGAGGCGAAATACCCAAAAAGAAGTTTGTAAAAAAATGTTGTTTACCACGATTGAACAGTCGCTGATTAAAATATCGGTGAAACTAGTGAAGAAGTGCAATTTGCAGCAATTGCCATCAATTCTTCAATAGTTTCAGCGGGATTTGGGTTGGAAAGCCCAAATGGTTCTCTAAAAAAAGTAACTCAAAACTGAAGTCGTGAAGGTGTCAAGTGGGAACGTAGCTGGACGTACGCCATCTTGCCGCCCTATAGACTTCAATGCGTGGGAGAGAGAAAACCGATGCCAGCTACACTCCTGAATGGCAGAACTGAACCATTGAATTCAGATATCGAACAATTCGAATCAGCAAATAAAAGAAAATGTTTTTGTCAGTTAGTTTAAGAAAAAGTCCATCCATTCCGGGTAAAAAAACAGTGTAAGACCCAGATAAGTGGCATTAAATTCGCAAACTCAGCCATTGCGGTAAAACACCTCGCCATCAATCCCTCAGTGCCGGTTTAACGATAACGAATCGCTTTCTAAAACTGCATTTCCCTTGCCAACCCATGAGACATTTGCGGTTTCTAGACCAGGCGCTTTTCCCGCAATTAATGAGGATAACTAAAAGACGTCGGCCAACTGGAAGGGCCGTCTTTTTCGCTCCCGCTGGCGATTTATCATCAACGTTCCACTACACCTTGCTGTCATCTGCGAATGGTCGCACAACGGACACATCAATCAGACTGCGACAAATTCTGACAAGAAGCCTTCTTTTTCATTTTTGTGGCAGCTTCAATCGAGTCGCCCCAGCGCTTCCAGTGTGTTTCCAGAGCTTCCAATCAATCCAGGCTTGGAAGGAATTTTTTCAATAGACCGGACGTTTAAATTGGCTTGCCCTGTTGCCAGATGGCTGCGGGTAACTGGTGTTTGCAGAGTTGCCATTTCCTGGCTTTTGTCAAGAAATGCGCCAGGACAGGGACTACTTTGCCGTAAAACCCACCTTTTTTTCCAAGAGCCGAAGGAAGTAATTTAAACCTGGTTTACGGCGGTTTTATCGTTCAAACGTTTTTTATTCGGGCCCTTTAAGGACGGTTTGTTTGACTCACTCGCTCGAAAAATCGGAAATCAGTGCCGGTTGGGGGAGTTGAAATCAGCCCTAAATTTGTGGGAATTTTCCACCTGCATTGGCCAAAATAATTCAAATATAACAATATTTAATGCCCATAATCTGCGAAATGGAACATTTGGAATTGAACAAAAACTGTTAGTTATCATTATTATTCAACCGCATTAAAGCGATTGGGGACATTTTCATCGGCAAATTACTCTCAAATTGCATGCAATTGCACTGGTTTTTCCGGCTTTTCTTTGCTTTCATTGCAGAAGGCATTGATTCCTGCCCTGCAGGGGCGTGCTAGTGGCAAATCGTTCTGAAAATGGACCTGAAAAGTTTGTAATAATGATAATCACAATTACTTAAATAATGGAAAAAGCTGCGAAAACAACAAAATAAACACGAGACACTTTGTTGATATGACCTGCTACGTCACAATCGGGATAGGCAACCGACGATACGGATTCGGCGTTTTTGGCGGAAAACATCTGATTTGAATTTAAATTCGCTTTAAAATTATTATGGACTTTTTTGGCAAAAMAATTAGATCGGTGTACGGTTTGTTGTACATAACTACTTTCTATATATCAACATAAAAAAGYGAAAACACCSTATTGCGCACATGTATTGAGAGTGTTCACATTGGCKGAAYTGTTTGGTTTCTGGGCATATTAAACCAGCTGAGATTATTTATGAAAAGGGCCGGCCAGATGATTTTCAAGCCTGATTGACCGGACATTTCAATCAATCAGCAGCCCCGGAGGGGCTGTAGAACGAAACAGTGCCGCTAAATAATTCGTTGCACGCAAATTATATTACATCGATGCGAATCGATTCGCAACTGGGGAGGCTTTCAGCGATTTTAATTCGAGTTCCTTTTTCAATCGCACAAACAAACAGCAACAAAACGGACGAAAATGGGTTACGATTGAAAATCTGTTGAATCAAAGGTTTTACAATGCGAATGGCTCACGGCTGATTGGTTTCAATCGGCATTTAAAATAATTGAGGGGATGAGTTGCGTCAGTATTTATTGCACAGTAAAAAATCGCTTTTTTTCACTCTTTTTGCGATTGGAAACTGCCTTGATCCAAGAACCTGGAAAAGAGGCAAGATAATCGATTTGCCATTAACTGCAGTTGTCGATGCGCGACCACATTGGGTTCAGCGAGTTAGCACTTAGCGTAAATGGCAGGAAAACGATCGCCGTTAAACGGCTTCGGATCGGGGCGAATTAATGAAATTTTTGGAAAACGGCGCCGTTTAAATTACGAGCTGCAGCTAAAAGCGGTGCCGGAACAGACGCGTTCGGTTTTAATGTGGAAATAAAACGGTCCAGGTCACCCGAACTGCATATGGACTTTGCTAATGCGGATTAGACGAGGTTTTAGTCGTCGCCCGACTCTGCAACAGAATGCTTAATTAGGCAGGCTTCCAACTGAGAATGATCGCAACAATCGACTACGTTTTCCCCGGTTAAAATCGCACGAACTCTAGCTCTTTTCCGTTCTCGAAACCTTTGTATTTTCCCTTAAAAGCTCAAAGCCCAAACTCGCTCGCCTTTTATTGCCAACAAATGCGGTTAAATAACATGGTTGTGTTCCAACTGTGCCCTCAGTATCTTCACTTTCCAGAGGACGTCCCTCGAATCCGATAAATCAATTCGAGCATGGGGGCGAGGTTAAATAGGAAAACGTTCTCATTATTAAATTCCGACGATATATGAGAGCCCCGGTTTGTTCCGGGCTTATACCAGGCAATAACCGGAGCTGGAGATGGATATTTATATTTATATGGGAGTTTAAAATCCAATTAGAACGACCTTTGGACTATTTCCCTTTTGCTTCGGCCTCAAACAGCTTTTTGCCGCTCTGCTCGCATGTAACGGGATTTTAAGTTAAGGACAGCCAAAAACCAGTTTACCGTAGACGCTGTTTGTTTCCATGAATTTACCGGCCATTTTGCCTTATCTAAAGTGCAGCAGAGTTTCCTATTACAGCTGTGTAGGCAATTTTAGGGAACCTTTTCGGAATATGATTGGGTTTTTCAGTCACTTCAATTTCCGAGCAGTGTATATTTCCTATGCGATTTGACGTTCGCTGCATGGGACACATCAGGTTGACGCCTCGTGTTCGACACTGCTCGCCAATTGAAGTGACCCCCAATTAGTTGCGTGAGCCAACGCAAAAAAAAACAAATTCTATGTAAAAAAATCTATTCCCTTTTCGCAGGACGTTGATTCTGGACTAGTTTCCGATGGATTTACGGGTAATTTTTAATTTCAGGTTTCGTGGATTCGGCATCGCGATCTCCACCTGCTGACTGTTAATCGGTTTACATACACTTCTGATCAGCGATTCTCCGCCCTCCATAACCCTCACACGGAAGACTGGACGTTGCAGGTTCGCTACCCGCAGCGCAGGGACGCTGGCACTTACGAGTGCCAAGTGGCTACCACGCCGCCTATCGGCCACTCCATGTACTTGTCGGTCGTTGGTAAGTAGCCACTTTTCACTGTGAAAAACTGCAGAATTTTCAGTTGAGTTAGAAGAAAATGCCCCGAAGGGCGTTTTTTGCAAGCATTGACTCGTTAGGAAACTTTCACTGCTAATCTGCTGGAGAGTGATGTTGTGAAGTGAGGTTACGGTAAGCGTTCCTGTCAAATGAATCAGCTGAAGAAAACCGAAATTTGTTAGTGAGTCGGTGATCGGTGTGAGGAGCGGCTAATTGTAGCCCCCTTGGAATGCATTGTTGCCTGATTAAAGCTGATTTGAGGCGTTATTATAGAAAGAGAGAGAGAGAGAG